TTGTAATGATTGATAAGAAGAGAAAAAGGGAAACTGTCTATATCCTTGGTTTCGTTGATCTGTTCGACTTCGACATTATCAAACGTGAACAAAAGAGTGTATCTATTTCATTATGATTTATAAAGTGCATAACCAACAGTAGTAATCTTTCTGAGTTGGAATACCACTTTGACTAAAGTATTTATAGATTTAAAATGACACCCATAATTTTGAATGCTATTTTCCACTTAGAAAAGCACTATAGTCATGAGTTTCTGATCTAACGCACCATAGTGGACGAACGATTTATCATTTTCTTATATTTCAGTCTTCTTCAAATCATATTCTTTTATTCGCGCATGCCTTAACTGTGCATTGATGAATCAAATATGTGTGACCGATATATAATTAGACCAGAACATATTGGAAAAATGCGTGCAAAAATTGTTATAAACTCAATGCAAGCTCAGTTCTATATGCTTCCTCAAAAGTTTAGGTCATTTTAATCATGTCTACCATGTTCACAGTGAATCTATAATTATGAAAAATTTTTCAGAACAGATCTACTACTATGATTCTTCAAAAAGTACTCCATAATAACTTATCGAAGCTTTGTTAAACACCCAATCATTCTCACTCCTGATTGTACCACTAGATGATGCACAGCATAAATATTCAAAAAATTTTGTGAAAAAAAAATTGTTGCTGAAATCTGGTGAAATATACAATGAATACATATTGCATTAGTTGTTGCCATTTTTTATGTGAGGTTACTTTTATGGTGAATGCGACACCTCAATAAGAGGGCGGTTTTTAAAAGAAGCAGTTTGTGCTATTGTTGCATCTCATTGAAAACTACACATGTGTAAAGGTTTATTCAAATTCGTACCATTAATTGAGCACATGATCCGTATTTCGTTCGTCGCGTTTGTGCACGATCTTCTAAACGGATTCTTTGCAAGATAGCCAACTACAAAGAATCTGCTCCAAAACAAAATATTAGATAACACCTGTTTTCTTCAAAGTATGGTTTCTGACTTTCAGTAATATGAAGTTTTTTCAGATAATAGAACAGCACAATACTGAACGACTGTATTTCAATACTGATACTCCGAAACTCGATTGGTGGTCCACGTTACACATGTTTTCTCATGAGAATAGTTTTACAGTAGCTAATCTCTCCTGTTCATTCGGTAAAGTGTTTGATACAGATTCCACCACGAACAAGACAATTGCAACAATATGAAAGTGAAAATAAACAGAGTCAGTGACTATATTTAAGAATTAGACAATCTATTCGATAATTATTACTACTAAGGCTTCGTAAAGAAATTAAAACTACGAAGGACTTACACTTGCTAATTCAAATATTGCAAAATTCTATGCAGACACTACCAAGATAGCACTGTAACGTATCGATGTTGTTCTATTAGCGAAGGTAAAACATTGTATTAACTATATATACGTTGAAAAAAACTTCTGTCTTTTTACACATGAGCGCATATACGTGTATTAACGAGGCATGATATATTAGCCACATATATTTTTTAGAGAAGCACTACCTTTGTTTTGTTCGTTCTCTCTCGTATTAAACAAGTATCTTAATCGACACTACAGCACACACAAATAAATGCTGAAAACAATGTGCGTCATTGTAAAGCCATACTTACTTTATTGTCGTCCTTGCATACGAGTGATTAAATATTGAAGTTTCATTGTCGAGAGGATTATAGCATAAAGAAATAATCTTCTGTGTATGGAAACTTGGATATAATGCATAGGTCCACGAAAAATAAAACTTATCCTGTTTTACTTTTCTATAAATGATATTCAGTCTTTTAGTCCCTTTAGTCCCTTCAGCTCGTAAGAGATGTTAACTACACACCCATATCATTCCAGTTGTGTTAATTTTTATTTTTGGTTTAGTCAAATTTTACATCTTCGGATGATTCCAAAGATTTATGATGCAATTTTAAAAAAATTATTTATTTTTTTTATTAGTCAGTGTTAGGATCCGACATCTATGTATAAATATATATGTTCCCTCGACTGTAGTGAGGGTGATATGAAAAAAAAATAGTTTGTGTGTGTGTACGTTGTTTGTGTCAAGATCAAAAAAACATCAACGATGAATTTTCATATAAAGGTTGATCAAAGTAAATTGGGGTTGGAAAATCCGAATCTGAAGTCGTTTTTTAGGCCGAGCTTGTCTTGTATGAAGTGTTGAGAATGTTTTATTTTGTCAAACATATAGCAAAAAGAGATGAACAAAGAAAACGAAAAGAGATCATGAAGAATAGAGAAAAACAAGAATAAAGACGACGGCAAAACAAGTTAGCAATGACTCATATCAAACTGAGATTAGAAGGATGAAAGAGAGGAAAAGATCGAAAGAATAATTTTAGCGTCAAATGGTGATATATTTTGACGCTAACAGAAATGAATATTGTCACTTTGGAGATGCTAGCTCTTGTTGTTCTAATATTTTCCATGATGGGATATTAATTTTGACTTTTGATTTTCGTTGAAATTTAAAACGAATGTAGCATATTAGAAATATGATCAGTAGAACTAATATTCCTATCAATAGAATGTTGAAAGTGAATGTCGAATGTGTTTTGAATTGTTCCCAAAAGAGGACCTCAGGAGGTTGGGTCGTTTTAGTGATAAGGTCAATAATAGTTTGGATTCGAGATGGAATGTACGGTAATTTATCCCAATTAGTATTGTTGTGAATGAAAGAGTGTAGATCAATGACTTCTTCGTCAACAGGATTAATTGTGACGTTTTGATATAAAACAAGTTTTGATTTTGATTGGATTGGAAGTCCTGGTAAGTAAAATAAATCCCATGATAAAGCCATAGAGGCTTTAGTAGAAATTAATGCGGTTGGAGGTAGGGTAATTGCATGATTATCCATTACTTTGTATTGATCTGAATCTGGA